CCCTTCTTGAGATGTAGCCCAGCAATTAATTTTGTTGCTCCAAAAATTTATCGTCAACTTACAGCCATCACACTACAATGACCACGGACCATTAACTGTGAACGGCAATTGATGAGCAGGCCATGCGAAGGAATGAAAACCACTTCAGCAGCAACCACACACCGCAACCACAATTACGACAACAAACTAGAGAAAGTCAGTCAGTCAGTCAGTCAGTCCAGGCAGCCACAAACAGCATATTGATTTATGCGAAATAGTTTATCAATCACTTGCCAAGTTGGTTGGCAGCTGACACAGCTCAAGGAATGATGACAAGTGGCACGTACAACGACTACCAAACCTTTCCAACTCTCACCCAAAGCCAAAGGTCAAGGTGTGCCAACCAACCAAGTCAGTCGGCAATGAACGCGCCCTTCGCGCAAGTAACAGGCAAATGTCGCGAAGAGTGCCAACAAAGGCGGTAACGGCATTGATTGTTCCTAATTGGAAATGGCTCAGTGCAAGGATGAAGAGCATAAAATAATTGCGCAGCCCCATCACCCCAGAGTCCCAGCGCCAATGATTGTTCACTGCTAGCTGGCACTGCATGGGGTTCCATGGGGTTATGTACGTACGGCTCTTGCCCCGCTGAGTTCTCGGTTGCGGCTTTATCTATTTATTTTGTTATTAAATAATAAGACACAAATTAGTACAATTTGTTTGCTTTGCTCAATGTCTCAACTGGCTGATTGCTACGTGCTTAATTAATTTAACAAACAGTAAGATAGCAAAAGTAAAAAGCGGCAAAAAATACGCGGCGTCGTTGTCTATTAGTCATTGTCTAGCCACGCGACAATAGCGGCAATAGTTTTGAAAGCGAAAATGTGTGCATGTATTAATTAAGCCTGATCGTTTACGGCTTTTTTCATAGGATTTGGTCGAAGAGAAACTAAGAAAGGCACAAATATATGCTTAAAATGGCTTCAAAAAAATCTCGAATCTCGTGTTCAGTTGGCGGCAACAGGTCTGTCCGTCTATTAACAATCCACAGCGAATTAAAAACCCAAGCTACACACATGATTAATCGGTTTGGCTGTTAGCTTTTGATTTTGTTGTTTCTATTGCCACTGCTGCCGTCTTTGTTACCATTGTGGCTGCTACTTATTATTGTTATGGCTATTGATAGCCACTTGATCGTTCTTTGACGTGTTCGGCTTGGCTGCTTGGCTGCCTGGCTGCCTGCTACCTGCCCACCTGCCTCATTCGTAGCCCGCTTAGCTGGCATTTGATGAAGCATCTTTAAAGTGGCATTAATTTCAGAGCAATCAAGATGTCCGGCATTGTACGGTCTTGTTATGTTCTCTCAGAGTTTCTACGCTAGTTCTTCATTTCATTGTTATTCGAATAATTTGCAGATTGAAGTTGTAATGCTCTATATGATTAATATAGATTCTTGGCATATAAATCGATACATTTCCTTTATGCATGTTTAAATATCCAAACTGTTTTCTTTAATAATTTTGTGTAGTTCATTACTTTTTCAATAATTTATTAAATAATTAGGCTGTAAGGCTGGGAGCACGAAAGTCCTGCTTACTATGTAAGCAATAATAAGCTCGGAATTGCTTAAATATTCTTGAACTTATTTCATATATATAGTACCCCCTTTAGGGACTCGTTTTCTTCTTTAAGATATTATTATTTCTTATTATAAATACCTAGCATTGCTTGACTTATTCCAGGAAATTCCATTGCAACAAATCCAATATAGTAAATATTTTTCACCCCACCCCCATCTGTTCAGTTTATTGAAAGGCTCGCGGTATTTAATTTCAAAGACAGTCAACTAACTTTTCTGTCTACGACAGCAGCAGACGTCAAAACATATCAAATTTACCCAGAACAGCCATGAGCAACAACAAAAATTAGCTAAAATATCATCATCGACATCGCTAGCGTCTGCTTTATCTATAGACTTTCATCGTAACGCGGAAGTCGAATGTGTGATATGTATGTGTTTGGCCCAGTCCGAGGGCGAAATTTCCATAAGCCGGTTGGCTCACTATTTTGACAGCTAATTTGAAGCGTCGAAAAAAAAGAAGATAAAACCAACGAGCACACAAGCTCATAATAACAATACGACAACGACTATTGTTGTTATGCTATTTGTTTGTTATTTAGACAAGTGCTTCAGCAATTTTCTTTAATGTATTACCTGTCATTATTTATTGTGTTACGTAGGAGCATAACAGTTAACATATTTAAACGGAAAACAAAAGGTAACAAATGTTAAGCAGCAATTAAACGTCAATGAAAACACTCGAGGCGATCAGTTTTTGGAGGGGTTGGATTGCTGGTTGGCTGATTTCATTTGTCATGCTCTCTTGTGCTTAACAATTGGCATTTTAAAATGATTATTTATATTGTGTGATTGGTTTATGGCTGTTATTCTTGTCGTTGTATGAATAGCATTATGTGGATGATGCATGAATTGGCTTTCTTGAATTGTTATCAGGCTTATTAGCTTGTCTAATTGTATAAATTGTTTAGCTTTTGATAGCGTTTTGATTGTTAATGAAGCCAATAAAGTTCGCACATAATTAGCTTAAAATATGAACATATAAGACACATGTCAAGTGCTTTTAACTGTTGTATGCTTTGACAGCAACTGAAAACTATATATATGCCGACCCCCCAGAGGAACTGAACTGTATGGAGTGCATCAATCAAAGTTGCCGGTTCGGCGCGCCTACGCAAGCAAGTCAGTGCAACTGTAAGCCGACCTGTTTCCCAATATATAAACAATAGGACTATCAATCAAAAAGTTCTGCCTTAACATTCAATTAGCGCTAACTGGAAAAAGTGCAATACGTATACGCCATGGTGTGCACGCTTGCACTTGTATGTCAATTAAAACCACATTGTTCGCGCTGACGTACCCATAAGTTTGCGAACACATATGAATATACATACATACTTATGTATGTATGTATGTACATATATTGGAACGACAAGTGTATGCTTTTATTAATAATAATGGCATATATATGATGTGATGCCGCGTTCCAATCCGCCGCGTTTTGTGTTACTAATCGCAAATTCTTTGTAACTGCGCCGCTGCTAATTTTAGATGGGCAACAACAACAACAACAACAGCAACAGAGGCAATAACGAACAATATTTATCGTTTATATAAAACTTATCTATGAATTATCATTAATTTATCATGAAAAAATAATAATAATAAAAGTATGGTTTACATGCGACATGTGGGAGTAAAGGGCTGCGAAGCAAGCTGGAAAGTCCATGAATTTGTTGTTAACGGCATTAATTTTTTCTGCATTAATGATGAGTTTAATCAAACGTATGAACAGGACTTTGGGAATAGGGCATTTCTGGTATTGAAATCTGTATGTGACTGGTTATTTGGGTTAAAAATGAAGTTCAGTTTCAAACTAATACTTTTTCCAAAACATATTTTAAATGTTAAATGAATATCTCCAAAATTGAAGAATAATCGCGATGACTTAGGTGTTAAGAAACATGCTGATCATCCAAAAATTCGCGATTAAAAAACTCGAATATTCAGTCCAAAAAGTGTATGTGTTTATTTAAAAAAAAAAAAAAAAACGTTCTTGCTGTGTTCACCTTCACTGATAACAGGAAATTATGTTTCTGATAACCAGAAATTATATTCATCAGTTGACACTTGTTACTGAATTTTCGACGAAAAATTGCAGTTTAACTGTCAACCACTCGCCATATTTGCCTGGTTTGGCATCGTGCGGCTCAATTAAAGCCGAAAAATTTAATTTGCCGATGAAAGGAAACGTTGTGTGTACGTGGAAGCCGTCTAAAGGCTTGCAACGACATCCTGAACGCCATTGAAACAGGCGTTCGACATGCTTTCCAACCGTGCATATCACTGTATAGAGTCCGAAGGCGACTATTATGAATAAAATGAATTCATTTTGGCAAAACTATCGCTTGCTTTTCCTATTTTTAAAACGACCCTGCAGTTACAAATGCAAAGATAATTACATGCATTTAAATAACGTGAGGTCAATTATATGCTGCTTTGGGATGGTGGACAGTATTGTTGAAATTCTGCAGCAAAGAAAGAGCGGAAATATCAAACTACACTATTGCTTATTGCCTAGGGGTTAGGATTAGGGTCTATATAACATGTATGAACAGGCGGACATGTCTAGATCGATTTGTCACGCAGATTTGTATGCTCTTTCGAATAAACGAATAATATACTGAAATGATTTTTTTTAATTATTCTGGGAGTTTTTATTTAATTATTCCCGCTTTACACTGTCAATTGTTGTTAACTATTTTTATTTCTCTATTTTGTTTAATCAAGTAGAAAAGGCTAAGCTGCCTGTACTCTTAACATTAAGATATCCTTACCTCACTTGTTAATTCATAATGTTTTTAAGAAATGTGAATACATTGAAATTGCAAATTATCCTAAAATTCTCATACTAATACCAGTAGTCCATTAAGTGGAAACTGGACATATTCTATTTTTCATTTGGCTATAAATGATAAAGCGATAAGCCAGAGTGTCGACCAAGCCTTTATTTTTAAACACAATGTTTTAAGTATTGGTAATGTTTCTCGCTTGCTATCGCAGTTTCTTTCCACGATTTAAGCAATATTTTTAGTCTAGGCTATAAGCGATTATGTAATCGGCTTCCGAGTCTGCTACAAGGAAGAATCCTTGCTGCCACCGCATTTTTTTTCATTCCATTTACCTATTCTCCCATAGAAAGATTGTAGATTAAATGATTAAATCGCCCAGAGGCGAAACAATTATTTGAACGTTGTTGAACTTCTTTTCAATTTCCGTTCGTGGCTTGCTCACAAAGACAAAGGTCACACCATATGTATATTATTAAAAAATTTTAAATTAAAAAGACTGCCGCATAATTATAGGCATGCACATAATTATATACAAACAGGCAGGCACACCTGCTATGGCTTTTCTGGGAACATTTTTAATATTTACTCACGCAATTTTTGTATCGTTTTTGTAAAAACAACGGCGACTTCACAGTCGATGGCTGTTGTTGCTATCAAAATGTTTTCCTCTGGTTGGTGACAAAGTATGATTAAGCTGTAAAATCCAATCGTTGTGTAATCGCGATGGTAGTTTATGTTTGTATTGCCGCTGATTTTTACATTTATCCATAACTGAAAGAAAAAACAAACCGAATACTATGTCAGAAAAAATGTGTTTATTAGTTTAAAGTTTTTTTATGAGAAGCATTCCATTTCAGCGAACTGGGCAATTATTTTCAAACAAATTTAAATTTGTACATTTCTTTTTACAAATATCACAGTAAACGTCAGTTCAAAAATGGGGTCGCTTTACCAGGACCCTTTACAGGATATTCCTCTCACTGAGAGCACAGCCACGCGTATCGAAATGCATATGGTTCCGCATCGATTTACACTCACAGATCCGATAATGCTGCGCCATGTGCTCTGCCTCTCAATTATCGTGCATAACTCATTTCATGTTTTCCTATGTTGTCGACAATTGTGTTTGGCCCGAAAGTCAACGGAGCCGCCAATGGAAATGCATAAAGCCATGTCTCCGGATATTTTCAAGGAGGCACGAACTACAGAATTGAAGGCGGTGGAACTACAAATGGTTGGTTATATTATCGATGCATTCTTTAGTTGCATTGAGCTCTACTTTGGCATATTTTACCATTTGTGGATAACGACAATGGTATGGTATCGCAATATTGGGGATCTTATCTGGCATAATATAGCTTTCATGGCACTTTTCTCAACCTACATGACCCTACGTAGACTACCAGTGGTGTTCTACAATAAATTCATTTTGGAGCCCCGCTACCATGTGGATTCGAAAGATGGGGCGCCATTCATTGGCATTATTTGCGTCTCTGCCTTTATGATTGTATTTGCGCAGGTTATACTCATTCCGCTGACTGGTTTGTTTCTGTTCATTGAGGGTAATGGTGGTTTCTTCTTTGTGCTTTGGATATGGGGCTTCATTTTCATTTCCTCGATTATAATACTAATCATTTTTACAATATTTGGAATGCCATTTATCGGCAAAATGGAGAGATTGCCCGATGGAAACCTGAAGAACACACTTAAGGATGTATTGGACCAATTTCACTTTCCAAGGGACAGTGTCTATATTGTGCGCACATCGTACAGTACGAATACCAGTGCCTATGCCTGGGGTTTTTGCTATAAGAAGCGCGTTATCGTACTGGACAACTTGTTGATGAATCGCGGCAAAGACGTAGAGCATCTGGACCCAGATGATGTGGGAAAGGGACTGCAGGACGAACAATTGGTAGCATTTCTGGTGCACGAGCTATCTCATTGGTACTATTATCACTTTCTGAAGGCCTTCACAATGGTGCAATTTACAGTGCTCATATACTTGATGCTCTTTGGCGTATGCTACCATCAAACTAGCCTGTACCAGGCCGCCGGCTTTCAATATGATTTTTACCCACACATCGTGGGCTATTGGCTGGTGTTTAAATATGTTATGCCGCCGTATTTGACTTTCACGAATTGGATTATATATTACTTTTTCCGCCACTTCGAATATTCAGCAGACAAGCATGCCTGCCGCTTGGGCTATGGCAACACCCTATCCTCTGCACTGCTTAAGCTATTTGCTGATAATATTGTCTTTCCCTATGTTGATAAATGGTATCTCATGTGGTATAGCCGTAGGCCTACCTGCCTACAACGTTTAAAGCATCTACAGTCATTGGAGATACCCGCAGACATAAAAATACACAAGTCGCAATTTTTTAGTAAAATTTAAACCTTGCCACTAAATTGATTTGCAGTGCAGTAATTAAAATACTTAAAATCGTACAATAAAATTTATAAATATTTCAAAATAAATCTAGTCGTCTCTACTGACATCGAATGGGAGCTCGGAGCTTTGTCACTCGTATGGACGGTCTATATATTTCTCTTTTATTAAACATATATGCTCACATAGCTAATATATATATAATATGTTAATAGATATATATTGTTTTGAAATAAATCGACAGAACTACTTGTTGATTTAAATAAATAAAAAATAAAATAAAATAAAAATAATAAACTAAACCCATTATGATTGTTGTAAATTATATAAAATTATTCTTAGTGGGGGTCTAAATTGATGATTTGTAATAAACTCGGACTGGAAAGCTCGATATTTACATTAACAGACAAGTGAATTGGTCTCGTCATGCTGCACATATATGTACATAAGTATTTGGTCCATTCGAGCTTCGAATTTCAACTTTTTTGTAAAGGGTATTAAAAACAAGAGAGAACGCTACAGTCGAGTAAGCCCGCCAGTGTAATACCCTGTACCCAGGTAAACTTCCGTCACTGAGTTATATGCGCCCATAGCAGCAGCAAAAAGAATTTAATAAAACAAACAACAGTAGATAATTATATATAAATTATGTGTGCAAAGTTTGGTTTAGGTAGCATTTGAAATGTGGACGCTATTGACGAAATTCTGTAGCGGGGGAAGGGGGGGAAAATTCCAAAAAATAAAATAAACTCGTCCTTTCTCGGACCTAGGAGAATCTGGATGCAAACTTTCGTTATTCTAGCTTTTATAGTTTCTGAGATCCTTGCGTTCATCCAGACGGACGGACGGACGGACGGACATGTCTAGATCGATTTCTATCGTCATGCTGATTCAGAATATATATACTTTATGGGGTCGGAGATGCTTCCTTCTTCATGTTACATACTTTGCACAAACCTAATATACCCTTTTTACCCTACGGGTACAGGGTATAAAAAAAATGCGTAGCAAATTAATGCTTGATAACAAAAAACAGAAACAAACAGGGCATGGTGAGCTCTTTGGCTTCAATGACATGTCAGATTCAATTTGTTTAAAAATTCCCTTTCAACATTCAATAACAGAACGAAACAAATTTTTCGTTGAATAATGTATCCATAGGAAAAGAATTAATAAATATATACATGCAGCCGAACAGATTGCGGCTATTGCCATGGGTAACCACACCACTGAGCAGGCAAAAAACCGAACACCCACCCACAATATTGGCCACAGCTTAACGGCTGTCAACGTGCAATCAAAGGGATCAGCAATTGAGTTATTGGTTGGTGGTTAGCATTGCAATCGTTAATTAAATTTCCCGAATGCGAAATGGCAAGACGAAAGCCTCATATACTCTTTAACAAATAATTAACAATAATATTGTTGTAGTTAGCATCATCATGCGCATTAGGAAACTGTTTAAGATGCATATGGAATGTTACTTGACATTCTTTGGAGTTTGAAAGCGCAATAAAAACGGCAGGACTATAACGAGCAAATATGCATGAAAGCAAGTTGTGCGCGCTAATTAAGACGCTGTCAGCAAAAGTCAGCACAGGACTAAGAAACTCAGCATCGACAGGCAATCAAAAGAATTGTTATGGAATGAAAATGTAAGGGAAAAAGTCGTACATTTTTGCATTTCTTTGCTTGGTATGTAGTAGAAGGACGGCAGCAAACTGAGAATGTTGCCTACATTTTTAACCTTATAGAAAATTCTCCTTTCTGCGAATAAGATCTCACTTTAAAAGGACTTGCTGATGAGTAAGCTTTTGATCAAATTAAACATTGATGTAAATATACAAAAGAGAATTTAAAACTCTAAAAGCTTCTGGCAACTCAAAAAAAAAAAAAAAATGGAATGCAATACCATTTGCATTTTCATCGGCATTGTATATCTTTGTGTGTGCTATATAGAGCTGAGCCAACGCAACAAAAACAACAACAGATGCTGGCAGAACATGGACTGATGTTCTGGTTATAAATTCCTTTACAAATTTCAATACGGAATATGAATTCTAAGCTTGATTATGCATGCTTCTGTTTTTCCTGACAATTATTCGTTCGTACAGACGGACGGAGGCGGGCATGGTTATAGGGTATCGACTTATCATACTTATCAAGAATACTTGTATATACGACTATATCGATTGTGAGGTCAGACACGCCTCCGACATTGCCACTAAACTAGTATAACCTTTCCCATTTGGTTGCAGGTTAAAAACCGATGCTTGACTATTATATACGTAAATGGAATTGTAAAACTTAAGAACAAATAAACTGTATTCTGCATTATAAATTGTATTTGGTATATTTCTTTATTTTCTGAATTTATTTTTGACGTCTTCAATTAACTTTTAACTAAATAGGCAAACGAATATTTGAATTTAATTTGATATTAAGGATTTGATGTTAAGGAAAACGCAAAAGTTTATAATTCTTGTGTCTAAGACTTTTCAACAGTCATTTCAAATAGGTGAGTGGCTAAAGTTTCGAAATAAGTTTATCAACCAACTTTGTGCATCAATTTTAAGTTGAAGGATATTTTCTCTCAAAATTGCACAAAGCTCATACAGAAACGTAGAACCAAAGTCAGATGGTAGGAGGTGTTGCAAAAGGAGTTATTCACTTAGTAATTAATGCAGTACACTTGCTTTGCCAGAATGTCGTCGTCCCTTTGGTTGCTTGATACCCAAATAAGCAGTGAAAGCACGCGGTCACTTGTGCAGGCCATACGTTATACTTGTACGAAAAAGTGACGTTGCTGCAACCCGCAAACGCCACACACACACAACCACCACATTCAATGTTGACATTGTGCACATACTGAAGCAAAGCCAGTGAAGCGACGACAACGACACTGACACCAACTGAAACCCATAAACCATGAGTGGCCGGACTGACAGTCAGGCGAATAATGGTCAATAGCTCTTTGGGGATTTTCAGTCGTGTAGGCTGGATATGGTCAATCAGTGTAAGTGTACATGTGCTCATAGTATATCAACAAAATGGTGTAAAATAGTGCACGCGAATGGCAAAGTGTTGTTGTGTACACAGCATAGTTCGTACTATAATTGCGTCTAACTGACAATTTCTTCTGCACGTGGCAACATGCACGCAAACACGTGAACCCACAAACACGTACACTAATTGAGCATCCTACTACAATAAAACCACTGAGAGGAGTCGTGTAGAGCGTTAATTGCCTTTTATTGCATGCGTGCGCTGGAAAGTATGCTATATACGGGCACCATGCTATACAATAACCATAAATACGAGTGCATGCATGTGTACGTACGAGTATATATGTATGTGTGTATGCAAATGATTATGTTGCAAAGGGCGTTAAAATAACAAAAAGCTATATAATTAAATTATACTGCGTAAATGCTTAAAAATTAAAGTTTTAGCAAAATTACAAGTTTATTAAAAGTTAAAGAAAAAATTGGTAAAAAGAAGAGAACTATAAATATATGAAACAAGTGTAAGGGTTTCAATTTCTAGCAACAGAGAAACTAATTAGCCTCTTCTGAAAACCCGCATAATTTAAGTATTTGAACAATTACATTTTTTATGCCAATCTTTCAATTGTTTAGCAAACTGCAATATAGTGGTTATGTTGTTATAATTGTTGGAGCCTTCTGATATGACTATATAGACAACCTGCATTCAGTTTTCTTGTATTATGTGTTGTTATACAGGGTGCGCCATCTTTTATGTCGGTACGTAACATTGAATAACTTTGTCATTACTGAACCGATTGACTTGAGACCAGTGTTGAAAAATTAGTCTGAAGAAATTGTACAGAACCAAATTTAATAAAAATATCTCATACTTGAAAATACTTTATTTTCAAAGATATTCAACGTTTACACACCGACATAAAAGATAGCGCACCCTGTAGTTGGCTATCAACATGATAAACCAACCATGACTTCGAGGCAGCAACACTAATGAAAATATTTTTACCACATACAAAAATATTAAAGCGTGGAAAAGTTGATTGTTCAGCATATTTTTAACTCCACTTGAGAACTTAGAGAACTTGCAGAAACAATAACTTTCCATCTAACTCTATTTCTACCCGTCTGTCTAGCTGTGTCCCATTTGATGTTGTTCTGGGATAGTTCCTGAAGGGCCGGTTGTCTTTAGGGTTTGCCGGCCCATCTGCTTCCTTGAACCCCCAATCCTTAAATAGTCATCAAAGTGGTGCCGTTTGGATTCATTTGTTTTGTATTAGTTTCAGTAATCAAATAATTGTCAATTGATTGGCCGAATGCGACTGTTTAACATTTATAAAATGTAAATTTTTTTGATTTTAACAAAATAAGAATGTCGCTGCTCTTATCTTCTCCTAAGGATGCTTTCTGCTGATGAAGGAAACTTTAACATATTTGTAGTGCCTTTTAAATGCTGTTTATTTCCAAACGCATCCATCTGACACTAATACCATCTGCTGAAAGCGCCCACCACCCCCACCCACACACACACACACACTATAGTCTTATGTTTCTAAAGTTGTTATCGCTGCTAAAGAAGTCGTTGCTATGAAAGAAACCAAGCAAGTTATTAGTACATACTTGTATTCATTCCATTCCGGTTGTGAAAATTATTAATATTTTGAAAATGTTTTCTCTGCACACTTTGCGCCACGCCCACCCCGGCTCTATACACACATAAATGCTAGCAATTTGCGGTGCATGAACTAACCATAAAATGCGTTTAATAAATTTACTGCGTAAATGCTAGAAATTGCAGAGCAAACAGTTGTTAAAACGACTCAGCGCAGTCGTAAATTTGCGAGCTAGAAGGTGCCGAGGTGAACCCCACGTGTGTATGATGTGGTAGATGGTTGGTTGCTGGTTGCTGGTTGTTGGTTGTGTGCGACGAGCACGCTGGTATTTCTAGCGTTGTTTACAAAACAAGTCGCTGCTTTAAGGACACACTCGAGTACGATTAATGCT